AGAATTTTGCCAGTTTATAAAATAGAATTACTGGATAGATTTCTATATATTTTGCACTTCTAGTATAGAGAATCTATTTCTAAGTAGGTGTAGTGGTACACATCTCTAATACCAGTACTCAAGAGGCAAAGGCAAAAGGATCAGGAGCTCATGGCCAGCCTGAGCTGCAGTATTCCCTGTATCAAAAAACAAAACAGGCCGGGCATGGTGGTGCATGGTTTTAGTCCCAGCACTTGGAAGGCAGAGGCAGGCCTCTGAGTTCAAGGCCAGACTGGTCTACATAGTGAGTTCTAGGACAGCGGGGCTACAGGGAGACCCTGTCTCAAAAAGACCGAAAAAAAAAAAAAAGACAAAAAAAACCCCAAACAAAACAAAAATCAGTTGGTTTAGCTGCAGTGGCATAGGCCTAAAATCCCAGCACTTAGGAGACAGACACAGTGGATCTCTGTGACTTCTAGGCCAGCCTGGTCTACATAGTGAATATAGGTCAGTCAGAGTTACATAACAAGACCCTATCTTTTTTTTTTTTTTTTTAATAATGGTAAATTTTGTGCGAGGTGTGCTGGCACATGCCTTTAATCCCAGCACTTGGGAGGCAGAGGCAGGCAGATCTTTGTGAGTTCGAGGCCAGCTTGGTCTACATAGTGAGTTCCAGAACAGCTGGGGCTACAAGGGGACCCTGTCTCAAATAAAGACAAAATAATAATAATAATAATAATGACAAACTTTATTGGCATAAATCACAGAAATTGAAATGTGGGACTGGAGAGATGGATCAGCGGTTAACAACACTGACTGTTCTTGCAGAAGTCCTGGGTTCAAATCCCAGCACCCACATGGCAGCTAACAACTGTCCATAATTCCAGTTCCAGGGGAACAGACAACCTCTTCTGTCCTCCTCAGGCATTGCACGACACGGGTGCAGTTACCTACATGCAGGCATAACACTCATACACATAAAATAAAAACAAAAAATATATATTTTTTAAAAATCACAGAAATTGAAATGGAAAAAGCCAGGTTAGATGTTTGTAAAAAAAAAAAAAAAATCAAATGATTACACAACTGCTGACCCAGAGAATGACCCCCCAGTTATCCCAATCCCTTCTTGGGGAGGGGCCTGGGGCAGGTCACTGTAAACAGAGCAGTAAGGCCTGTGGGTAGAAATGCAGACCGCAGACCTTTGGAGTGCTACCGTTTACCTCCCCAGACCTGGTCTGCTGTCAGTCCAGTCCCAACAGAAGATCCTCCTCTGGGACCCCACTATGCCTGGCCTCTGCTAGGAGACTGATAACTGGCAAGACCCTATCTTAATAAATAAATACTAAATAAAATAGGAAAATCTTTTTTTTTTTTTTGGCAGGATCTCACTATGGAGCTCTGGTTGGCCTGGAACACACTATGTAGAACAGGCTGGCCTAGAACTCACACAGATCTATCTGCATCTGCCTCCCAAGTGCTGGGATTAATGACCTGTGTCACCATGCTTGACCTCCAGTAGATTTTTAAAAATTATTTTTTTGGCCAGGTGTGGTGATGCATGCCTTTGATTCCAGCACTCAGGAGGCAGAGGCAGGTGGATCTCTGTGAGTTCAAGGCCAGCCTGGTCTACATAGCCAGTTCAAGGCAGCTGGGGCTACAGGGAGACCCTGATTTAAAAAAAGGCCAAAAAAGCTATTTTTTAAAAGTTTATTGATTTTTTGAAAAATTTTGTGTGTATGTGCTGGATAGCTTTAGTGTCAACTTGACACACCTGGGTTGAGGGAGCCTCAATCGGGGTATTGCCTCTATTGGATTGGCCTGTGGCCATGTCTGAAGGGCATCTTCTTGATGAATAATATGGGAGGGCCCAGCCCACTGTGGGTGGTGCCACCCCTGGGCAGGTGGGCCTGTCTTGCATAAGAAAGCAGGCTGAGCAGGAGCCAGGGGAGCAAGCCTGTAAGCAGTGTTCCTCCATGCCCTGTACTCCAGCTCCTACCTCCAGGTTCCTGCCCTGAGTCCCTACCTTGGGCTCCCTGATGAACTGTGACCTGGGAGATGTAAGAACCCTTTCCCCTTTCCTCCCCAAGTTGGTACTGGTCAGAGTGTTTTGTCACAGCAATGAAGAACAAACTAGGACAGTGTATGTGTGTATTTCCTGCATGTAGGTAAGTGCACCCATGTTGTGCAACACCCGCGGAGGTCAGAAGAGGCTACTGTATCCCCTGGGACTGGAGTTACAGTTGTTAGCTGCCATGTGGGTGCTGGGATTTGAACCCAGGTCCTCTGCAAGATACTGGTCAGAGTGTTTTGTCACAGCAATGAAGAACAAACTAGGACAGTGTATGTGTGTATTTCCTGCATGTAGGTAAGTGCACCCATGTTGTGCAACACCCGCGGAGGTCAGAAGAGGCTACTGTATCCCCTGGGACTGGAGTTACAGTTGTTAGCTGCCATGTGGGTGCTGGGATTTGAACCCAGGTCCTCTGCAAGAACAGTCAGTGTTCTTAACCACTGAGCCATCTCTCCAGCCCCAAAGTTATTATTATTTAATGTGCAAGAGTGTTTTTGCCTGCATGTTGTATGTTCACCAAATATGTACTGTATCCAAGGAGGCCAGAAGGGAATGTTTGGATCCCTTAGGAATGGATGTAGTTACAGAAGGTTGTTAGCTGCCATGTGGGTGCTGGGAATTGGTAAGAAATGACAACCCAATCAAAGTAACTTTTAGCAATTGATGGCTGCTGGGAGAGAGTACAGTGTCTTACAGGGATGGGACTCTTGGTAGGCCCAGTGGATGGACCCACACTAAGGGCCATTTGGGTACACAAGTCACTCTGTAGTCCATATTATATATGAGCGTTCATTGAATTGGGTGTGGGCATCTGGGGACACAAATCAGACTCTAGTTCATGGGGCTGGAGAGATGGCTCAGTGGTTAAGGGTACTGGCTGTTCTTGTAGTGGACCCAGATTCGATTCCCAGCAACCATATGGAGGCTAAGAATTGTCTGTAACTCCAGTTCCAGGGAAATCCAACCGTCTTCTGACCTCCATGGGCACTGCATGATATGGGTGCACTTACACACTTGCAGGTAATACATCATACACATAAAATAAATACAAAAATAAAATTTAAAAAATTTTTAAAGTTTATTATTTTAATGCATATGCGTACACGCCCAGGTATAAAAGCACAAACTGGTCGGGCGTGGTGGCGCATACCTTTACTGGGCAGGTTAGGGTACAGTGGTCATCTTCCATCTGGAGAAGGACTGGTCTAGGTTTGAATACATTACTATCACTTGTTAAGTAGGAACCCAGGTTATTTAATGAATTTGATTCCCAGTTTTCTGAAATTTAAAATGGTGATAATGAGGCTGGAGAGATGGCTCAGTGGTTAAGAGTACTAGCTGCTCTTGCAGAGGACCTGGACTGGTTCTCAGCACCCACATGACTGCTAAACCTACATGGTGGCTACCAACCATCCTTAACTCCAGTTCCAGGGGAATCTGAAGCCCTCTTCTGACCTCCACAGCACTGCACGACACAGGTGTACTCACATACATGCAGGCAATACACTCATACACATAAAATAAAAATATTTTTTAAAAAAAGAAATTAAGATTTTTTTCTTGAATGCTCGGTGTGGTGGCACACACCTTTCATTTTAGCATGGGGGTGGGAGTGGGGTGGCACAGGTAGCCAGATCTCTGTGAGACTGATGTCTGTGAGGTTGATGCCAGCCTAATCTATATGGTGAGTTCCAGTCCTGCTGGGGCTACAGGGAGACCCTGTCTCAAAAAGACAAAGAAACAAATATATAACCAACCAAACAAACCAATTAGTCTTCTGAGAGAGCTCTGGAAACAGACAGCAAGATGAGAGCCATGGAAGGCAGGCTCTTTTAAAAAAAATATTATTTTTACGTGTTGGAGTGTTATGCCTGCATGTAAGTGCACCCCTGTTGCGCAATGGCGGAGGACAGTTGAGGCTGTCAGATCCCCCAGGAACTGAAGTTATAGACAGTTGTTAGCTGCCATGTGGATGCTGGGATCTGAACCCAGGTCTTCTGCAAGAACAGTCAGTGTTCTTAACCGTTGAGCCATCTCTCCCTGGGAGGCAGGCTTTGTGGTGATCTTTCGTGGCTGCTGGTACTGCTCAAGGGCGTGACTGACTTGTTGGAGGCCTGATCAGGCCCCTGTGGTGTGGAAAGAAGTTAGCTCAGCCCTCTGTGGGAGGACCATGGGAAGGGGATCTGCAAACTGCTGTTTGAGGCCCTCCCTTCCAGTTTCACATGTTAAAGCAGCATTAGTTGCCTAGGGATATTTCCAGTCAGACAGACCTAGGTTATATTCCAGCTCTGCCAATCATCAGCAGCTGAGGATGGTGAGGTGCCTGTCTTCTCAGAAGCTGCCCATGTCCACTTACCCTTAGACATGAAAGTCCTGGGTCAGTGTGTAAAGGTGTCTGCTGCCAAGCCTGCTGACCTCAGTTTGGAGAGAACCAACTCTTGCAGCTTGTCTTTTGACTATCACATACGTATTATGGCATACGTGTGTGCCACCCCCCAAATAAACAAACGTTAAAAAATTTAAAGGGGAAGGCCTAGAGAGATAGTTTAGCAATTAAGAGCACTGGCTGCTCTTTCCGATGACCTGAGTTTGGTTCCTAGTACTCACATGGCAGCTAACAACCATTTATAACTCCACTTCTAGGCTATCCAACACCCTCTTCTGACCTCTTTGGGCACTGCACACACATGGTACACTGCACTTACATGTAAACAGGCAAAACACTCATACATAAAACAAAAATAAATGGTCAAGTGCGGTAGTGCATACCTTTAATAATCCCATCGCTTGGGAGGCAAAGGTACTTGAGTCTCTGTCAGTTTGAGGCCAACCTGGTTTATATACTGAGTTCCAGGCAAGCCAGAGCTGCATAGTGAGACCATGTCTCAAAAAAACACACAAACACGTGTGTGTGTGTATGTGCGTGTGTGTTAATTTGAAGGGGGGCTGGAGGGATAGCTCAATGGTCGCAGCACTTGCTGCTCTATCAGAGGATGACAGTTGGAATTCCAGCACCCATGTCAATCAGCTCATAACCACCTATAACTCTAGCCCCAAGGGATGTGACACCCCTTTCTGACGTCTTTGGGCATACTCACACATATGTGCACATACATACACACAGACACACACATACATAAAATAATAAATAAATCTTAAAAAAAAAAAAAAGAAAAAAAAGAAAGAGTCCTGCCTCACTTGGTTGGCTCCGCTGACTTCTTTTGGATGGAGGGGATGCCTGGAAGGCTGCACTGGCTGTGGTATAGCAGCCCTGTCAGGTGCTTATGGGACCTTGGGGCGGTGGTTCTTCCTATGGCTAAGCAGTTGAGACTTCCAGTCAAAGCCGCATCCACAGTCCCCGCAGAAGTGGCGCAGCTGGCTGGCATGGCTCTTACGGTGAATGACCAGTTGTGACTTCCAGCTGAAGCTGCGTCCACACTCCTCGCATGCATAGCTCTGAGGGTAGGTGGAGCGCCACATGGCCCGCTCTTGGGACACCTGTGGTGGCCTCTCCAGGCCTGGCCCACCTGTGTGCATGCGGTAGTGGATGATAAAAACGGATTTCCAGTCGAAGCTGAGGCCACAATGCTCACAGGTATAGGGTTTCCGTGGTGCCGGCCCAACCTGGGCTTTAGGCAATGGCATGGGGGACAAGCCCGGCAGGTCCTCGAAAGGGCTCTGGCTTTCACCTGAAGTGGACATGCAGGTCTGGCCAAGCCCAGGCCCCGAAATGGCTCCCAGTCCTGGGAGGTGGCTCCTGTGGGTCTCAGGCTCTGTGTGTGGGGTCTCCTGCTCTTCAGTGTGAGTCTTCAGCTCAGACTCAGCAAGTGCCTCAGGCTCTTGGGACAGAAGGCCTGCTGGGGTAAAAGACGGTCAGTTGGGGGTTTGGTCACATGGGGGCTCAGTGTTGGGGTGGGTACCTTCTGGAAGGAGAGAGATGCTGGGTGTAGAGAGCCCCAGTGGGGGCCTGGGGCATGCAGGAAGGCACATGGAAGATAGGTCTGGGAAGACAGGATGGGAAGGGCTGTGGGTCCTCACCCTGGGACAGCACTGTGCTGTATTTCTCCAGCAGCACGTCCCAGTACAGCTCTTTCTGTGATGACTCCGACAGGCCCCGTTCCTTCTGCAAGGATGCAACTAGTTACCACCCCACCCACCCAGCTTCACATCTTTACCTGCCACCTCAGGGTGGCAGGATACCTAACACCCATCCGCTGCAGGCTAGGGACCCAACCACAATGGGAATTTGTGAGTTTTGGGTCAATCTTCATTTGTCCAACCTATGAGCACCTGTCTCTCAGTGATGGCCAGAGAGACTTAGGAAATTGTAGAGAGGTTTTAGACAGGGACATCATGCCATCCCAACCCTTCTTCCTGTCAATAAGCCATTTGCAGGGTGTGTTAGAAGGGCAGGAAGAGGTTAGGGGACTTCTTGGGACCCAGCCACCTTCTGCCAAGCCTCTGTTTAACAAAACTAAAAGCTCTTCCTTGGGGGACCCACCCAGGGCTGAGAAAATTTCTATTTTGGTTTTTTGGCTTGGCTGTTTTTGGAGTAGGGGGTAGGTTGACACTGAGTCTATTAAGTCCAAGCTGGTCTTGAACTTACTATGTATCTGAGGATGACTTTGAACTTCTGATCTTCCTGCCTCTGCCTTCCTAGTGCTAGGCTTGATTACAGGCAAGTACCACCATGCTCAGTTTATGCAGTGCTGGGAGTAGAACCCAGGACCTTGTGCATGCTAGGCAGGCAGCTACATTCCCAGATCTGTTTTTTGAGAAGGACAACCCAGGTTAGGAGGTATAACTAGGAACATCAGGACTGTGATGAGATGAGACAGTAGTGGTGAGAGGAAGCTCAGGAAGTACCAGCAGGCTCAGGCAAGGCCCGAAGAGGGCGAGTCTGGTGGCAGAGCCAGGGCCCACCAGTGATAGCCTCACCAAGAAAGGTATTCCTTGCCTAAAGGAGCTGCCTCCTTCACTGTCCTAACACCATCTGAGGCTTTGCTGGACTAGGAGAAACAATCCCAAAGACCAGTCAAAGTAGGTCTGGAGAAAGGGCGGTATCAGTCACAAATAGCTCCATTTAGGGGTTGGTGTTGGCTGGAAGTGAGGACACCATAAAGGGGGCCTGGAAGGTCTTTTCAACTTTGATGCACACTTCAACTACAAATTCTGTCTTGGGAGGAAGCTCTCAAGTGGAGGGGCTTAGCAGCAGAAAGAGCCAGGTGAGGACAAGACGCCCCCATCCTCCACTACACACACTCGGGAATCATGGGCTCCAGGTGACAGCCTTTGAGAAGAGCAGGGGAAGGACTTTAGGCATGTCCCAGGAAGAGTGTCCTGAGTATGAAGGAGTCCTGTTATAGTCCCTGCTCTACCTGCACAAACAATGTCTGGCCCAGGGCCCACGGGAGCTGCAAACCTACCCACTGACAACTCTGGAGGTGAGGAAGCCAAGCCCACCAGTTCTAGTCACTCCAGGCCTGAAGCCTGAGGCCTGAATCTTTTCAAGTGAGTCTACCAATCTGTCCTGCTCCCAGGACCTGTGGGGGAACCTGGCTGTTTACTTCTCAGGAGTTAAGAAACACACACACACACACACACACACATACACACACACACACACAGAGACACACACAAGTCACTGGCCAAGGAGCCTGCAAAACCACAGAGCAGAGGCAGCCACCAGAGACACTCCCCTCCCACACCCATGACCTATACTCCCCACTGGGGGCTGCTTACCTGAATACTTCCTGGATGGAAGGATGTGGACTCTGGTTCCTCGATTCTAAGAGGTCCCTTGAGGGACTGGGCTGGAAGAAGGGGGCTGGGAGATGAGTCTGAGAAGAGGCAGATGGGAAGGACTGTCAGAGGCTGTTATTGCTGAACTGGCCTTGGCCTGCCTCTACCATGTGAGATTGTGGGAGGGCAGCGTTGAACTCCTGCTTCCTAAGAGTCCAGCTTTCCAGTCTCTCCAGGGTCCCTATCCCAGCTGAAGACATCCAGGCTCATTTCAGGAGTTCTGGCCCTGGTAGAACCTATCCCATGACAACCCACAGACAGACAGACAGACACATGTACACGCACATGCACAGGCACACACATACATTTGAAAACTCCTTCCACAACCCCTCAGCCTTGAGGTTGCACTCTCTCACCCATAGCCTGCTCATCAGTACTGGGTTCCTCTTTCACACTGCAGCTGAGCTGGGTGGACCCATCTATCCTGGCAACCTGTGGTCCTTCTGCAGGATCTGTCTCAGAGGACTCAACTGTCACTGAGACATGGTGGCTCCCCAAGGACTTCTCTGATTTCTGGATTGTAAGAGGCATCTTTGGCTTCAGGATGTGGGATGTGATCTGAAGAGAAGAAATATGTCACAGGGGCTCTGCCTTTAGTCTATCTCTCTAAAAAGCTCATGCCATTACACTTACCCAGCCCAGAAGCTGCCCAGGGTCATGTTGCAGCCCTTCAACGAGAGCTGCAGCCTCCTCAGGGCCTCCTGGTCGCTGCCCTCGCACCCAGGCCTGGATCTCAGGGGGCAACACACCCAGGAACTGCTCCAAAACCAGCAGCTCTATCATCTGCTCTTTGGAACATGACTCGGGCCGCAGCCATTGGTGACACAGCTCTCGAAGCTGGGCCAGTGCCTCTCGGGGTCCCTCTACCTCCTCATAGCAAAACCATCGGAATCGCAGCCGAGCAGCCTCTGGTTCCTCAAGGGTGGTCTTGGGGTCCTTCACAGACAGGTGTGGGGGACCCAGGGGTGATGGCATTCTTGTTTTGAAGGGTCTTTTGGGAGCTGACAAGAGAGATCTACAAGAAAGGAAAAAACAGAGTATCATTTAAGGCCAGGAGAAGACAGATACCAGGTTCTTCCCTGAGGCCAGGAACGCTTCAAGGAAGGTCACAGATGACAACAGATAGCAATTAATACCAGGAGGAACCCTGGAGGACAAATGCCTGGGAGACAGATGTCCAGGGAACTTCTAGGAAACTGCCAATATCTGCGCCAAACATTTGGTTACAACAGAGGATTTTGGGGGATGAAGAAAAACTGGTTCCAGCAACAGATAAAAGGTCAGTAGGCAGACCACGATCCAGGGTGATCAGAGGAGCAACAGGCAGGAGGCTGCCCTCACTGTCCCCCAATCTGTAGGATATGTTGTCTGAAAAGCTGACCCTGGAGTCGAGCACATTCACGCCCTGGGGCAGAGCCAAAAGGCTTAAATGCACTCCCAGGGACCGATGTGGCCTCTGAGACACTCACTGCTCGCTGACCACAGGTAATTGTGAACGTTCACACTGCCTCAACCTCCGCACGTAAAACCCCAAAGCAAAAGCAAACAGCCCCGTGTTTTATGGAGTCGTGGACTAAAAACTGCGTCCTAACCTTAAAAAGGTATTGGATTGAAACCCGTCCACCTGGGGCACCTGTCCTGTTCGGGAGACCCTCGGACTTTGTGGAGTCTGTCCCTGGCACAGGAAAGGAAGGAGCAGGACTTTCAGGAGGATGGGGCCCAGCCACAGAGACTGGTGCTCTGGGTGGGAAGGTTAGGGTGGTAGTTCAGGTTCCGGAGCGGGGAGTGTTAGGGAGAAGCTGCGCTGGCCCAGCTAGGAACGCCCTCACCTCCACCAGCTGGGGGTGCCCCGGCAGTTCAGGGTACTTCCGGGTAGCGGCACTGCACGGGTCCCACAACCACTCACGGAACGCCCCGCCTGCGCGTTGCCCTAGCGACGACGTCCTGGCCAATCCCGCAGCTGCAGCCCTGGCACGGCCCCCTCTCCTTTGGAACTACGTTTCCCATGAGCCTCAGCCAGGAAAAGCCCGCATTTCCAGAGGCTTCTCACGCCTGAGGCACTCCGTTCTTCTTGGGGAGCCCACGGTGCCGTAGAGTTTCGGGGAAGGGTTACCTCCTCTATCTTGGTAACCGTTCTTCCTTTGCACCCCAGCCTTAGGACTCACCCCTGCGGAGCCGGACTCTGTGTTAGTCTCCGTGCGCATATGCACAGAGGACCTGGTTTCTACTGGCAAGTGAGGAGCGAGTATGAGTTACGAGCCAATCAGAGCAGGTGCTTTGCCCAGCGGGACCTTCGCGTCACCGCCCCTCGGAAGGTACTACCGGCCCCGCTGTCGCCTAGGCAAAGCAGCAGCACACCCGCCAGCCTCCACCTGTTCCCAAGGCAACAACCCCAACATCGCCTTGCAAGGAAAAGGCCTTAGGTGGCCGCTCCAGGGTCTCCTAGGTTCAGTCCACCAGGAATGATCCAGGCGATCCGGGTGGGAGGCGGGGTCCGGAGAGGGAGACCCAGGGTGGGCAAGGATGGGCAAGGAGGAGGTAATGGCCAGTGATTAACCGCTCTCTAACAGGTCCTAACAGGTCTTCAGATAACACTACTGCAAATGAAGATAACGGATTCTAAGTTTATGACACGGGTTTAACCTTTTATTTACTTTGGAGACTGCCACATGAGGTCACCTATATTTTCTCCCCAAAAGTGTTAGTGGCTTTTTAACTGTGGGATGAGTTACTGAATCGGTCTTGAATTAGATATACTTAGATATACCCGTTTTGGTTTCTTCTAATACCTGTTAATTTCTCCCCGACTGCCAGCTACTGCAGTGGTCCTCAACACTGAAACACCTGAGTTTTTTGTTTTGGTGTGTGTGTGTGTGTGTGTGTTGCCTGCAAGTATGTGTGTGTGTGTGTGTGTGTGTTGCCTGCAAGTATGTAAGTGCACCTGTGTCATGCAGTGTCCACAGAGATCAGAAGAGGGCATGAGATGTCCTGGAAGTGTAGTTGTTAGCTGCCATGTGAGTTCTGGGAACTGATCCTGGCTCCTCTGCAAGAGCAGCCAGTACTCTTAGCCACTGAGCCATCTTTCCAGCCCCAGCTCCTGAGCAGTTGTATGGATAGGTTGTCAACTCAATTTACCAGTTGAGCAGTTATGGGAGATTAGTTCTTTCCTCTGGGTCTGTACAGATTCTCTAATTACAGCTCTTTCATCACCCACCCAGTTGGGAAAGCACTGGGCTTTTATTGACTTCCCAGGGAGCCCTTCTCTGGGAACATTTTGTTCTAGGGCTTCCCTCCCTGGACTCCTGGGTTCCCAAGTCTAATGCTGTACTTCCAGTAAGCCTAAGTGAACTTTGTTGGACACCTGTTCCCTCTGGGCTTTACATGACAATTACCATCTCCCTCTTTCCACCTGCACTGGGCATTGAACCTCAGGGCTGCATTAGGTAAACACTCTACTATTGAGCTATATTCCAGTAAAAAATTTTTGAGGCAAGGTCTAATAGGCCTCTCTACCATCTTAAAGTAGAGGTCAGTGGTGACCTACTGACCTTGGTCCTTAGGGTAATGAAACAGAATTATACAGCATTTAGCCAGGCCTATGGTGATGAAGCTGTTCACATTTCCTCTTGAGGAACATTCTAGTCACAGTTCTTTTCCTGCCACAACTGTGTGTGGTCTTAGAAATGCTAAATTATGCCTGGTGTGGTGGTACCCACCTGTGATCTCAAAGTTTAGGAGGCAGAGGCAGGTGGATCTCTGTGAGTTCAAGGCCAGCTTGTTCTACATAGTGAGTTCCAGGTTAACTGGGGCTACTAGGAGACCTTGTCTCAAAAAGACAGAAAAAAAAAAAAAGCTAATTTATGGACTGGATAGATGGCTCCACAGTTAGAAGCACTGGCTGCTCTTGCAGAGGACTCAGGTTCAGCACCCATATGGCAGCTAACAATTGTTCGTAACTCCAGTTCCAGGGGATCTGACCCTCTTCTGACCTCCTCCGGCAATGCACAACACGGTTGCAATTACATCCAAGCAGGCAACACACTCATAAACATAAAATAAAAATAATAAATGTGTCTTTTTTAAAAAAAATTTAAAAAGCTAAATTATGATGTAAAAATTTGATTAGGGTCGGAATTTTGGAGTGGCACAGCTGTCTGAGTCACCATGTTCTTGTAGCCCCAATAAACTCATTTGCCAAGCTGGACTTTGGAATCTTTGGTCTGTTTTCTCCCTCCCTATTTGGAGAGAGCAGGAAAATCCTCTCATTTCCCTGGTGTCAGCTCAGAATTTGGTTTCCCCTAAATCAGAGATAATTTATCTGTCTATTTTTGAATGCCATTGTCTTTAACTTTGCCCCATAGCAGTGGATTTATGCGAGCTGTGTGGTTTATGTGTTTGGTTCTGATTTTTTCTTTAATCTTATGTATATGAGTGTATTGCCTGTATGTATATAAGTGTACCCGTGTGGTGAAGTGCCTGTGGAGGTCAGAAGGCATTGGATTCCCAGGAACTGGAGTTATGGGTGGTTGTTAACTGCCATGTGGGTGCTGGGATTTGAACCTGTGTCTTCTGCAAGAACAGTCAGTGCTCTTAACTACTGAGCCATCTTTCCAGCCCCTCTTTTCTCTTTTTTTTTTTTTGAGAGACAGGGTCTCCTTGTAGCCCCAGCTGGCCTGGAACTTGCTGTGCAGCTGGCCTCCATCTCAGAGATCTGCCTGCCTCTGCTTGCTGAGTGCTGGGATTAAAAGCGTGGGCCACCATGCCTGGCCTATTTTCTTTTTTAAAGATAGGCTCTTCAGGCTAGCCTTGTCCTGCCTCTCTGGCCTCCACCTCCTGAGTGCTGGGATTACAGGTATGCACCACCAAGCTTGGCTCTTTGAACTCATTAAAACCCAGAGTCAGGGGCTAGGGATGTAGTTTAGTTGGCAGAGTTCTCACCTAACATACACAAAGCCCTAGGTTTGATCTCCAGACATGGGGGCGTGCACCTGTAATCTCACCACTCGGGTAGAGGTAGGAGAACGAAGTTCAAGATCAGCCCTGTTGACAAAGCCAGTTTGAGGCCAGCTTGGACCACATCTGACCCTGCTCAAAACAACAAGGCCAGTGAGATGGCTCAGTGGGTAAAGGCACATGGGCCGAACCTGACAACCTAAGTTTCATTCCCAGGACCTATAAGGTGAAAGGAAAGAACTGAGCACTGCAAATTGTCATCCGACCTGTACATGCACACCTCTGCACACATGTGCCCTCCCCCCATATACACATACTAAATAAATAAATAAATGTAATAAAAATTAAAAATAAGAGTGTTAGCCAGGTGTGGTAGTGCACACCTTTAATCCCAGCACTTGGGAGGCAGAGGCAGGTGGATCTTTGTGAGTTCGAGGCCAGCCTGGTCTACATAGTGAGTTCCAGGACACTGGGGCTACAGAGAGACCCTGTCTCAAAAAGACAAAAAAACAACAACAAAAAAAAAACAGCATTAAAAAACAG